CTGCCGCCCCCAGCGCCCCCCTCCGACCGGGCCTGGGGCCCCCAGGGCCGCTCCGCTGCCGCGGTAAAAGCCGCGCGTGGCTTCGGGTGCGGGTCGGGAGCCCCGGGGTTTGTGCTCAAGTTCATGCTCGCTTGCCACCGTGCTCGCCTGCTGAGCTGGGGGGATCTCGCGCTAGCTGGAGTAAGCGTGTTCAGAGCTCCTGGGCTGAAAGGAAGTCTTTGACGTAGCAGGACTCGACTGGGTGCGGAAAATAGCCAGGAGGTACCCAAGAGCAGGGATTAGTGTAACTGCCCTGCCAAGGCGATAGGTGTTGAGCACGTACTGTATTCTTGCTTCCACGTTAGCCGCTACTGAGCAGGCAGCACCTTTGTTTCAGATAGGTGGTTGTTTAACACGAAGCATCAATGAAACTGTGTCGTAGAAGCGTGCTCAAGTTATAATTTTTAGTACTTGGGAACTAAAATAGCTGTTTTTAGGTAACATCACTAGACGCTTGTGATACTGCAGCTCTTCCTCCTTGGAGCAGCTACAGCCGGTACAGTGTGTGGTGTGGGTTCGTAGGCTGGTTCTGACTGTTTGTGCGGTTTGGGGCTTTTTGTTCTCACCTTTACTAGCTCACTTCATAATATGTACTTGCTGGGACAAGTAAGAAGTCTTCCTAAGCAAGTATCATCCTCTCCTACAGGAATCTAGCTCTCATTGCTAGAGGGAGATCTTCTGAAAGAGTAGCCAATGCGGTACTCCCAAGCAGCCTTACTACTTGTCATGAATGGAAAGCTTCCTATGCCACCGGTAGCTGCTGACTCAGAGCTTTCCTGTTAAATTCGGCAGTGCCGGTACAGTTTCTGTTGCTTGCAGCCTGTGTTAAGCTGCAGCAGAGTGAAGGCCAACGATGTTCTAGCCAACGTGTTTTGTTGCTGTTCTGAACTGTGTACATCTGGCAGGATGCCACAGCGTGGGAGAAGAAATCGGAGTAAAAGCAAGCAGTTCATATCAACAGTGCTGCTCCTTAGTCAGGGATAGCACTTTAGATCTTCACAGACCTCTTGGTGAGAAAAGCAACTTTTGCTTGGCTTCTCCTAGCAGTTAGATAAGCATAGCTGGTATATCAGCAGCTGTTAACTGGCTTTCCCCGGTTAAGTATTCTGCAAGGTTCCTTGATCAGATGTGCAAACAGAATACTAACTTGGGCTCTTGAGTCGGTGTTGAAAACAACCCCTATGTGAAGACAGATGCTTTAGCAGAGTGAGGAAAATCTTTACGGTGGAGGGTTCATGGAGGAAGGTAAAGGTGGAGATCTTAAATGCTGTCTTTCTTGCCTTCTTACACGGCAAGATTCGATTAGCAGTCAAGTACTGCTCGAGTAGTCCTAATGAGTTTAACAAAAGCGCCTCACGTTGCATCTTAGCTGTGTAGGAGATACTAAATATTGTTCATGTGTTATTTTCTCATGGCATGCCAGTGACTGTAGAGACTAGCATACAAACCTTCCCACAGTACAAGGCATAAAGATGAGCTGTGAAAAGCAATTTAACTTACATCTTCTGATTAGCGGACTAAGGTAACGATGACAACATCAGTGACTGAACAGATGTCCGTTCACTTGAGTGGCTAATAGCTTAACTTATGAGCAGCACAATTCATAGAGATTAACCTTTTAGTAGTATCTTACGGCTAATAAATCCAAACTAAACCGTTAAGTGTCTCCTTCAGTGCTGGTGAGCTGTCCTGGTACCTCAGAAACGGTGGGTAAGGGTTTGGAGCTCGTTGGATGCCAGGTCATGTGACCAAATAGTATGCTCCCATCTGCTGTGGAGTGCAGATGTAACAAATAAAATCGTAAGCCCCTAGACTTTGAGTGCGTATGCATTGATTTCTTAAGTACTCTAAAGTTGCCACTCAAAGTCTTCTGCTGGCTATTGCTCAACTCCATTAAAGAGCAAATCATAATACTTAAATCAGTATTTTCAAGATTATGCTAACTTGTGTTAAGAGCCCTTCGCTGCTAGCCTCAGTTAGGTGCTAGCACTAACTTGAGCTTCTGTTAGCTGAAACTTCAGGGTCTGTATTGCTTGTTGTCTAATGAATAATTCCGGACAGATTCACTTTCCAGCCCCAATTGTAGGAACATTTCCATGTGAATTACTCTTCTAACTATGACTAATAGCCAGCCACTCAGTCATTCTTCTGCCTCACTGCATATGCGAAGCTTGCAAAGTGTATTTAAAACTGAAGGCTTGGCCTGAACAGGAAAGGGGACTGGGGACAGAAACACTGAAGCAAATGGACATTTTTTAGCCCTGCTACTGCACATTTCACTCTGCTGATAATATTTGCTGTAAGAGTGGGGTTTTTTGTTTTGATTTGTTTTTTTTTTTACATGATTTTAATCTAATGACTGTTTAGGAAAAAAATCAAATAAATAGCTTTACCTCGTCGTTCAGCTTTCTGTGTTTGCTAAGCTGCTTAACATTCTGCTCATGCACATCACTGGCCTTGCTGCATACATTCAGGAGTTCTGCGTTTGGATCAGTTTCTTGGTTCCCTTCCCAAGCAGTCCTTTCTTCCTTCTCATCAGCATCAAATGGGAAAGGTTCTTAACGTGTTGAATGTGCACTGTTAAATGTACCTACTGTCTATGTGGGATGTTGGTAAATGATATGGGATAATGATAAGAGTATGTTTCTCATGTAATACATTGAGAGTTTGCTAAAGAAATATTGGGTGGGAGGGGAGAAGTGAAGGATGAGCTTTGCTTTTTTTCAATGGGTAAGTCAGCAAAATGAGCTCTTCCTATGCTGTTAGCTTCTGACTGTATAATTCTCAGTGCTGTATTCTGTGGTCCACCGAGTAGTATCACTCGGCTTCAGAGAAAGTATTGCAGACTAATGCATCAGCATACGTCATTTTGATCTTTCTCTAGACACTGGTAAAACAGCTTCACTGAACCAATGATACATGCCCTAGTAACAACAAGCTGTACTGCGTTGCCTCAGAAAAATGGATAGGCTCCTGTTTAGAGAATAAGGTGGCTTCAGGGTTTGAAGGTTTGCTTGAAGTACTAGTGTTATTTTTTTCTAGCAAAACTATAGACAAAAGCAGACACAAACAAGGGTATTGTCTAACTCGTTTTGAAATAGGAGGTTGTGCCTCGTGTCTATAGTAAGTTGCATGTGACTGATCCAGTCTGTTCCTCTAAAGCACGCTAGAAAGGAATTGCTTGGTTTTGTCTGGCAAATTCATCAGTTTGAAGACTGTTTCCCCTTCCTTTCTCTTCTCCTCCCCCACTAAATTAATTGCTTACCCAGTGCTCTCATCTTGTGTAGACTTCCCAGAAACAACTGCAGTGGTCACAAGAAACAGGATCATCTCTTCTCTTGTTGAGGGGCTTCTCATCTTGCAGTAGTATCTGCTGCCTGTGGAGTTGTGAATGTGTGTGGTGCAGCTGAGCTGCCTGTCCAGTGGAGCAGAGCGTGAACATGTTGTGGAACCACTGAAAAGCTCTGCTAGTGTAGGAAAGCTAACTTTTTTTGGCTGATAATATTCTTTGCAATCATTAACTAACTTTAGAAATCTAGATTTTACAGTTAAGTCCTGGTCCTACAGTTTTACCTAGTTAAGTCCGATGTGTCAGATGAAGGAGGTAAACTGGACACACTAAATGTGGGCAGCCTGCTCTTTTACCGTTGTTCTTATACACAGTTTACTGTTGCTTGCAGCACAATCTTTTCAGGTTGCTTTTAAAGGTACCTGACCCTTCTTAAAAGGTGTGTATTTAGATGGGACATTAAAATGGATTTTCTCCCATACTGAATGGAGATCTCTGGATCTAGTTGTAATAGCATAACAAAAAAGTTCAAATTACCTCCTTTACTGTGGCAAGATTGGTCAAGACATCAGGCATCATTAATAACTGCCTTCAGCGAGTGACCTGATAAATAGCAGTATCCATTGCCCAAAGGTCTTATGCTCACTGTCTAGTAAAGAGCTATAAAATAGCTATACTGATAAGTTTTGTTTTTTTCCCCTCTTTGAAAGGTGTAAATTTTCCTATTTTGGTTCAAAAGCAATAGCAATATGAGAACTAGCTAGTGGTACTCTTCAGTTGTGTGTAAATTTCTTTACACTGTACTAATGTGCTCCTTAAAGATATGGTCAAATGTGGAAAGACGTTTGAGTATCTGACTCTCTTTCAAATCAAGGTGGGGGAGACACGTATCTGAGTTCCAACAGTTGACTTTACCAGTCAGCTAATGGGCGTCTGGGATCTCTGTATGAACATGAATTCTGTTCTTCAGATGTTAGTAGTTAAAGTGAGTCCCAATTAATTCTGAGGGAATACTTGGGCTAATAGATGTGCATCGTCATTTCTTTTTTTCCCTCTTTCTTAAGAGGAAAGAATAAGTGCTTACTGGTTATGCTAGTAGCAAAGAAATTTCTCACTTGTGGCATTCGGTTTCAATACTCAAGTCACGCCTAGAACTTAGGAAGCAAGAAGAGGTGGGAATTGGGTTATTTAGCTTCTGTGCTCAGATGAGGAATTTTAATGCTTCCTACAGTGGCGTGACTGGACGGTGAAGAGCAGCTTGAACGTTAAAGGTCTTCTACATAGGAAATAACTACCTCTCTTGTGGTGGGGTTCAGACTAAATAAGGGAGAAAACTGGCACAATAAGAAGTCATAACTTACAGCAGCATAAGAAACTTGCAAAATCGGTTCTCTTTTGTTTTTCATTAGAGATGAGTACAGAAGCAGAACAGCAGCTTCTCCATGATGCTAGAAATGGAAACTCTGAAGAAGTTAAACAGCTGTTGGATACCAGGGACAAAGGAGAAATAACCTTTAACATCAACTGTAAAGGTCAGTAGCTCTTCTCACATGTTTGTAACCCCACTGTTGAAGCCACAGGTAGTGAAACTATTATTGATAGTACAACCTTGCTTTATTTGAAGTGCTCGATAGTGTGGTAAAAACCACTTATGCAACTACTTTTACCATGTAACTTTTAAGGCCAGTCTGTGTGGGGGAGAGATCGTGAAAACAGTATAGGTAAGTATAATGTACGTAAACTCAGGACAGTTCACTGAAGCTAGAAATATCAACAAGGTGAAGAAGCAGTACCTGTTTCTGCCAACACTTGAGCTGATGCCAATATCAGAGCTTAAAATATTAAACAAAACAGAGTAGGATGCAAGGGGATGTTTCGGGGATGTAAAGAGCCTCAATCAAGGCTGCAGAGGAGATCAGGTACCTTATCTATGCTCTGCTAGATATGATTTTTTTTTTAAGCTGTGGTTCATGATCAATTCATTAGCAGCAGCTACAACTCTTACTGCTTGCAAAGAGGATTGGGACACTTTTTTTTTTTGATAACTTGGGAAAACAAGGTAGATATTGCTGGTCTGGGTCTATATACATATTTAACATAGTTAAGGCTAAGCAACGTGCTTGCTGAGCATTAAAACTTCAAACTTGGGCTGGATTAGCGCGCTTGTTAGCAGCAGCAGACTCCCCTATTTTTTACTCAGTAAATAGCTTTATATTTCTCTTTATTTCCACAAGTGTTTCTGCTTGTTTCAAAAAAGTGGATGTATACCCTGCTTTTTCTACACATGCTGGTGTCTCTTTATTCAACGTTTGGCTGTTAATTAGCACTGATAAGACAGTTCTACAGAGTGTGTATGTGAGGTGTGTGTGTGTGTGGGGGGGGAGAATAATCCGTCCTCTCTCAGCCATGATAGAGGGAACACCGTACCCTAAAGGGCAGGGAAGGCTGTTATCGAAACAAGTTCTGTCCCTTTCCCAACTTTAGTTCTTAATCATCAGTTTACTCATGCTTTTGTTTGACTACTCAGCCTTGTCTGTGTTTTCACAATAGTTAATGTGCTCACCTCACAGAATAAGCTGTATGTAAAAACCAAACTCTTGATGCTGCATCTTCAGGAAGCTAGTTCATAGTTTAAAACTGAACTAGATGGAGCATGATGGAGCTAGAATCTTCTAGAGTTTTCAGAGCTTCTCAGGTATGTTCTTAAACATAATCTGAAGGCAAGGAAGCCTAACGAAATGGCATAATCTGCAGTCTCATAGTAAATCAAGCAAACTGGTCTTAGCATTCCTGATCAAAATTGAATGGTAGTACTGTGAAAGCCAGCAGGTAACCTAGAAGAGACTCACCTAACGAAGGAAAAGGTAGACAGTGCTTAGCTGTTACTCTTCCCATTTAGCAGTACATGGTCAGCCAGCTAATACATGCTTGCGAACAGAAGATTTGGGAAACTAGCGGAAATGTGTTGGTGGTAGTTTAGATGACACAAAGAGAGTAATTCTGAATATGGAATTTCTGCTGGGTGAAATCTCTGGTCTTTTAATTCTGGTCCTTCTAAAAGGGGTAATCTGTTAGAAGACAAAGAAGTGTGACTGAATTGTTCTCTGGAGGAACTGTTCTGGTAGTGTAAAACTTCAGAGTTAAATCTCTATTCTTCCACAATTATTCTTCAGAGACAACTGACCATTTCAATTGCTCTGCTTCTGTAGAGTATCCCACTGGATATCGTGTAAGACAAAATCAGGCCAGCCAGCATCTGCAGTATAGCTAACCTTGTTAAGCCTCCTCACTACCAAAACAGTTATCTTGCTGCAAATCCTGATCTATTAGATAATACTGGATAGTAATCACATGACCACATGATAATTAGCTAAAATGAAGGCTGTAGACTGTAAGATTTTGCAGCCTTCAATCTTTCTTCTCTTCCCTTCAGCCTCTTGTCCTTCTATGATTACTTTCTAGATAATGATAGATGTACCTAGAAAGACAGGGTGTGGGGTATCTTCAGTGCTGCAGCAGTTCCTTCAGAACTTGCATCTGATCTGGCAGTGATACGTGGCTGGGAATAAAGTACTTTCGGAGCAGGTAGGAGGCCATACTGGAGGTAGTGTAAACTTCCCCCTAAAAGCACCATAGGAGACTTAAGTCTGAAACATTTATGTGCCTGAGTGTCAAAACTTATCTTCAGCATCTTGTAAAACGTGTTTTCTCTTTGCAAGGGTGAACCATTGTTGAGACCGTATGTTAGATCCATAACCACGAGGTATGGCAACAGTGATCCCAAGCATGTCGATTTCAGCAAAAGTGAGGGAAGAGAAAACAAATGCAGGCTTCTCATACTTGTTCTGTTGTGGTTGGTTTCTGGTTAACTAACACTTGCAGATAAGCAAGACATGCTTGATGAAGATCAAGCCAAATGGAGTGAACATCAATTCCCAGTTTTCTCAGATCACTGATTGCAAAAGAGGTATTTGCATTAGGATAACACCAAAGCTGGATATCATCCAAAACAGTCATACTTTCAAAGGCCCTGTCTGTATTGGCTCATTCTCCTTACGTACAAGAACCTTGAATATCTAGACCTTGCAAAGTGAGAAAACTATAAAATAAGGTAAGTGATCAATAGCAAGTGTGTAATGCCAAAAAAAAAAAAAAAAAAGAATGACTACACAGCAGTCTGAGAGACCACAGCCCAAAGATGACCGTCTAGTTCTTTGTCATTCTCTTAATTGAATGATTTGAGATTTACAGCTAAATGACCTCAAAGCAAAGAATTGGGGGGAAAAGGGTGATTGTTGGCTTTGTATTGTATTAGTCTGTTTTCCTGTTGTCTTGTTCTCCCCAGTGCACTGATGTCCTGGTAGAAAACATAGGATGTGTTAAAGTACAGACACTTGTGGTCCCTCGAAGGGAAGTAACGTATACCTCAGAGCTTGAAGTAACTGCTCGGCTAATATCAGACGCACAAATATTCAGAGTAGGTGCAGAGCAAAGGACTCTGCCACTTTATTGAACAAGAGCTTCTTGTTTGGGCAGATTCCTGAATTTTTTTTATAACTGAATTCCTTGGTGGCAGCGCGCTCTTGTCATCTTTTTAGCTAGTGCTTATCTTGGGCTAATTGTATGAGTTCAGCACAACTTTGTTCTTTGAAAGAACTTTTGATGTCATCTTGAGGCCAGGAAGTATCAAATCGGGATCGCTGTTCAAGTCTCCTTTAAAAAGCGCTCACATATGTTGGAACTTTTAGAGGGGTAGTCTCAGTTTAGTATAGACCTTGGCATATATACAACCCCCTGTTGTACTACTTGGCTAAGAAGCAATAAATGGGATTCTTAAAAATGACTTATTCATATTCCTAGTGATCTAAAGGAGCAGCTTCAATCAGTCAAAGTTCACTAGAAAGTGTACATCCTAGTTTAAAAAAAAATTCTGATGCTTGTTTTGGTATTGGGTGGTATGAGGCTCGATGGAAGCTTAAAAGTTGAGCACACATCATTTAGATCTTAGTTTTACTTAACTGGTCAAAGTGCAAGGATTTCTGCTCTGCTATACTGAAATGGATGATCTCCATTGGTGTGCTATTCAGTATAGTCCCAGAGTTGATGGTCTATGTGGTATTTATTTTCTGTGGTACTTGAGCCCATCATAGGAACTCTGTAGGCCAGACTGGGATGAGGGGAAGATACTCAATCTGGGGTTGGAACAAGAGAAGGAGTTGAAGAAAGAGAACTAAATAACAAAACACATACCCGGTAGTGGGCAGAAATGTGAGCTGGAAACAGTTACAAGGAATGGGGAAGTATTTCAGTTGTGAATGCTATTCTAATGTTAATTTTTAAAATGAAAATAGAATGGACCTGTAAGACCAGTAGTTCTCTTTTCTTTCCTTGTGGTAGTGGCTTGTCTTCTCAGGACAAACTCTTCTTACATTGTGCATGTTCCCAAATTCAGCCCCAGAGGAGAAAACTTTATGGTGACTGTAACTTAATACAGTTTAATGCCTCATGACCCCTTTGGTTTCATGCTCTTTTGGGTAGCACTGAGAATGCTGTGGGCTTGTTGCGTAGTAAGCACAAAGTTTGAACTGGCTTTTCTTGATACAGTGGAGTATTGCGACAAAGGGAAGCTAACAACTGCCAACTTAGTAATCTCCAATGCTTTCATACCCTGCTTTTAAAAGAAGTGATTGTAGGACAATTCTTGAATTGCAGTCATACAGCCAGGCCTCTAGGAAATGCTTTAAAAACTTGTTAAAATATAACTGGTGTTATCTTTTGGATCGTCACTTCTGTGCCTGTGTTCTACCTACATTTGTCTTGTCATGCATGCAGAGGCTTGCACTTCTAGATAGCACATGAGCTCTGCAATGCACAAAGGTTTTAAAATCATGAAACTTTTACTAAGGCTTTCTGTATTTAAGAAATGAATCCAAACATAAGGCTACAAAAAAACCTAACTTCAGTTCATTCCCACTGTTTTATTCCAAATCTCTGCTCTGAAGATGCTTTTTCCTAGCTCTCATTTGTGTGCAAGAAATAAAACCAGGTAAACTAAACTTTTTTGATCCACTTAAGAGACATATGTGTACTTGCACTCCATGTGCTCTTTGTGCACTGAATGAAAGTAACTGAAGCTTGTTGCTGGTGTTAAAGCGCAAGATATTTCATGAAGAGAAAAGTTTTAATCTCCATCAGACAGTACGGCTTTCTTCTTCCAGAAAGATTCCGTAGATTTGAATCTAATTTGTTCAGACCATGGCCTGATCTAATGGTTCAGATTAAATTAATTCTAATGATGCTTCCTGGCCTCTCTGCCCCAAAAAACAAAAGCCCAAAATACCCTAAACGCTCTCTATGTTGCTAAGGAGACTGATCATCCATGCCACTGCTCAGGCACATGACTCTGGTTGTATTGCGTTATCAAAACTTAATTTACCTTATTCTGTTTTGTATCTTCTAGGCAGAAGTAAATCTAATTTGGGTTGGACACCTCTTCACCTTGCATGCTACTTTGGACATGCTGTTGTAGTAGAGGATTTGCTGAAGGTATCTCTCTACTTGCCTCTGTATAAAGCAGAAGATTCTTCTACTAGAAGCACTTAGTATTTGCTCAGGTTTTTGTGATGGAAGAAAGGCTTGTTTGTTGAGAGAAAGAGCCACTCTTACGGTTTCTGTGTTACACACAGATAACTAGGCTGACTGTTAAAACTAGGGAGTGGAATAGTTGCAATATCAAGAAGGTTGTGCCCAGTTACAAGGACCCAAGATAACGACACTGGAAGTTGCTGAGATGTGACAGTAGTATACTGCTGCTACTCTGAACAGTGTTTACAGCTACCAGTAGTGAGCTAACTTTCTTATGAAGCATGTGTGTGTTTGTCTATGTAATCATCTGAACGTCGAAATGAGAAACTTCCTACGATATATAGCTATGCACTTGTGAAAGCTGCAGTCCTTTTCATGCTCAATGGATATCTGCATATAGTAGGCCAGCAAGAAGCAGTAGTAATGCCAATACTTCAAGGGCCTGCTCTAGTTTACTACAGTACTTACATAATTCAGACAGTTTCACTGATTGTGTTATAGGAAAGGCTGAAATGTTTGAGATGCAAAAAATCTGGGCTAATTGTATGGTACAGTTGTACAAAGAAGTATGTGCAGAATTCTGGACGAGGTATCTTGTGTGTATTCCCCCACTCCAGGCACAGACTAACAGAGTTTGACTCATTTCTTTCTAACGTCTTAGAAACGTGGAACTCCTAACCTCTGTGTGGTCAATGGTGACCCGTTGTATCTTCATAGCAACCTTTGCAGTACGTTTTCAGTTATCTCTGGTTGGGGTCTTTTTTTTTACCACCAGTACTCAGGGTAACTTCAGCCAACCTGAACTATGTCATTTAGACACCATATTCCTGTCTGAAAGGTTTTGCTATAGATAGCAGAAACACTTTAAACAGGCTCAAATGCAAAGGTAGCTAATCCATACTTGAAATCCATTTGAAGTAAAGGCCACCAACTATAATCATGACTCTAAAGCAGGAAACAAAGCTGAGATTTCTCTGGAAAATTCTTCTGTAGCCTACACACCTGCTCAGTAGAGGATGCTGCTCTCAATCCAAGAGGGCTGCTTAAAGCAAAAGGTAAAGTTTTGTGACCTAATGCTTTTATCAGCCCTTCCAGAGTTGAAAGAGAATATACGACTTTTTAATTGCTCTTTCTTCATTGCTTGTGGGGCTTTTGAAAGGGTATTAGTTAAAGAATAAAGGTTAGTAATAAAGGAGACCACACACCTCTGAAAGTTAGGCATATACAAGTCTCTGTATACTTGGGCCTGGGTTTCATGCTCAAAGAGCAAGTCAGGTATGATCAGAAATAAGGCTCTGCAATCATAAGAACTGGAGTCAGAGCTTGTCAGTTAACTTTAGGCCAGCAGCAGTGGTCTGGTTAAACTACGTGATCAAGGCACATACGTGGTAAGTTAGATATGTCTTGACCTCTTTCTGACCTGTTGAGAAGCTAGGTAAAGCAGTGTAGAAGAGACACTTAAAGGTAAGATTTCTTGTTCTCCTGGAACAGTGCCTATGCGGTGTGCCAAGCGGCCTTCCTTTTCAGAGAAAGGGCATGGGATGGGGAAAGCATATAACAAGAGGAAGGGAGAGTTGAGACAAAGATGCTAAAACAGAAAGGGTTAGCTTTCAGATAGGACAACCTTAATGCTGACATTGAATTTTTCACTTTGGGTGAAAGGATAACAACAGATATTTAGAGAGAACAAAGCTTATTTAAGCTCAGAGGAGGCTGTGCTGCCCTGTGTTGTGCATCTGTAATAATATATGTATGCATGTTAGCCAGTACTGTTACAGTTCTTTTAGTAACTTGAACCAAAAGAAAAATCTATTAAACTTATCTTTTGTATACCTTCTCAGAAGTGAAGGACACCCCTGGAAAAAATATGGGAGGCTTTTCCTTTTTGAAGCTATTTATTCTGGCTATGAATCTTGCATATATAGTTTATCTTGGTTTCCATTGTGGCTGTGTGACAGTTCTAGTCTGATATGCCATGAGGCCTTCATCACAGTGGCCTGCCCTCCCCCCCGTTAGAGAAATACCTATGCAGATCTTTTTGGAAGGGCGTTCAGATGTCTTTTGCTGTTTAGGCTGGCGCAGATGTGAACGTGCTGAATGACATGGGGGACACTCCGCTCCATCGTGCAGCTTTCACAGGGCGGAAGGTAACGTATGTTGGATTTTTTTAAGCCTCTCTCATAAGATTATTAAGGAAACTGTAGCATAAGATCTCTACAAAAAGTTGTTTATACAGTGTCTCCCAGAAAATGACTTACTATCTGTTTTGTGACAGTGTGTTCAAAAGAACTAGGCACATTGGACTTTTTTTGCACAGCTGGTGGAACTCTTTCCAAAGCAAAAGCATGGTACAAATATCTTTTTTGAGGACAGGAGAAGAGTGGTCTGTTCTCTTCCTTGTTATACTTTGTCATATCTTCCTAACTTTTTGTTGATGAGGATGTTGCTAGCAATGGGAGAGAGTAATCTTGGTAGTTTTCTTTGATTGAAATACTTTGCGCTACTTGTGTGACTGCCTAAATGATGCTTCTTCTGTTCTGGCTCTGCTCTGTGCCAGAGATAAAATGCATGAGTGTGGCACTGTCTCCAGCTGCAGGTGCCAATTGCTGTGTGAAAACCAGTGTAAAGACCTGCCATCTATTGCTAAAGTACAACAGGTTAATCTGCACTTGTGCCTATGTCTGTTTGACCGCGGTAGGAGGAGTTGGAATTCTTCCTCCTGACTAAATGTGTATCTTCACAGAGAGCAGCCAGCACTGTTTCAGTTTTAGTGGCTTTAGCGGGGAGAGGAAAGATAGGCCACACTGGTCCATTTGGTATCAGGAAGTGCTATTTCTTTCTAGAAAACTGGAACCAAAGGGCTTTTTATAGGCCTGGAACGTGAGACGTTTGCTTGCTCCGCACTTCCTACTGTCGTTTCCAAAATAATGCTACTGCTGTGGACAACCAGCTGGCCCTTCTGAAAGGGTGACTGACTTTAGTCGCAAGATTACCCTTCTCGAAAGTGCTGAAAAAATATACCTCAATCTATCAAATTCATCTTTCATATCAGGCACAAAGATATACTCTTATATCAGACTGTGTTGCCTCAGCTGTAACTTGTTTCCTGTTGGTTCCCTCAGTCTGACTAACGTGAAAGAGAAGGTTGCAGTCCCTCTATCTTTCTAAAACATCCTTTCCTGTTCTCATAACTCAGCTGTGGTGAGAAGCTGTTTCACAGCTAATGTTACAGGCTGTCAAAAGCTGGAAGTGCAATTCTGGCTTTGCTGTACCTGAGATAGATTAAAAAACGCTTGTCAACTTGTTTTCCAGGAGGTGGTGATGTTACTCTTGCAACGTAACGCTGATACTTCTATTGTTAATGGGAGTGGGCAGACTGCAAAAGAAGTTACTCACGATAAAGAGATAAGGAATATGTTGGAAGGTAACTTGCGTAGGTCATAGACTATTTCCAAACATTTGTACTTTCTGAAGCTGTTCTTTCCTTACAAGTTACTGAAGCTCACTTGAATTTTATCTTTAGATTTGGTCATTTAAAAAAAAAAAAAAAAGCCATTTTTTTCCTGCGGTATTGGTAGCTTTTCCCCAATATGTTTGCAACTTATTTGGAGAAATAAGTATTATAAATACCTGTAGCATCATTCAAATAAATATTTCAATCCTGTTGCGGTGTTCCATGCTACAGTTCTGAATGCTAAATGGCAGTCAAAGCCTTAGCTCACTAGAAGGAGGAAAAACTAGTCAAGAATAAGTGACTTTATGCCAACAAGATTGTTAACGAGCAAAATCCTGAGCGCTTTATAAAGGTGACCCAGTGCTGGATCACGTTTAGGATTTGCTGTTGTAGTCTTAAAGGTTATTTAAAAAAAAAAAAAAAAGTTACCTCGTTTCCTCTGCCATCTCACACCTCGTAAAAGTGAGGGAGATGGTGCCCCAACTACTTACACAGGGCTGACTGGTTTTACTGTTAGAGGGTTCAAGAGCTATGTTACCTCCTGGTATTATTACTAACGTACTGCCCATAAGTACTGCTGAAGTGTCATGTCCAGTACAGAGACTATATGCAGAAGTTGATCTCTCTTCCAGTTCTACGTGCAAGTGCACAGATAAGTCCTTTCTAAACACTGATGTTAGAGAAAAAACAGAATTTCTGGAGGATGGTAGAAAGAATAGAAGAGAAAAGCTGAGAAAGAGTGCAGGGAAGATCTGATGGGATGGAAAGGAAAGCATATATTTTGCCTGATTCCTCTTTTTCTAGTGGGTAGAGTTGGGCGTGGTGGTCTAAAATCCATACTCAAAATTTTGTCAATATTACATGTTTTTGAACATCAAATTTTGTCTCTGACACAGACTCTTCTGGAAAAATATTCTATTTAGGTGGTATCAGTACATGCCTCCTATAAATTATATTGGAAACCCTTCTTTCTCTAGGCTTACTTTGATACAGTTTCTTAAATGCCCTACTTCAGACATAACTGTGACTGTACTGACGTGACAATTAAAAATCTTTCTTTAAAAGCAGTGGAAAGGACACAAGAAAGAAAACTGGAAGAAGAGCTCTTGGGAGCAGCAAGAGAGGGAGAAACTGGGAAACTGACTGCCTTGGTAAGAATTGAAGTACTTGTGCTACCTTTATGTCCAACAGTTAAAGCCATAAAACTAATGTCACAACATCAGTTCATTAGTCATTAACATGTTCTTAGGGCTTGCATTTCAGAGTGCTGTGAATTCATAATAAGGTGCACAGCACCATTGTTCTGTTGGTAAGATGCAGAAACCTGAAGTGTTTACCAATATCCTTGCTATCCAGTAAAAGCAATGGTTTTCTGCCTTTTCCAGGTTAGTTTACTAAACAGTCTTCTGTTAATTGCAAATTCCAATATAATTAAGTTAGATATATTTGGCAGACCCTGTGCTGTGCAGGAACACCCGGAAGAAGCGGCGAGTGATTGTTGTGGGTGACTCCCTGCTGCAGGGGACAGAGGCACCTATCTGTCGACCTGACCCCTTGTCTAGAGAGGTTTGCTGCCTGCCAGGGGCTCGAATAAGAGATGTCATGGAAAGACTGCCAAGGCTTGTCCATGCAGCAGACTACTACCCTCTGCTGCTCTTCCATGTGGGCACTAACGAAATGAAAGGCAAATTGGAAACCATCAAACGGGACTTCAGAGCTGTGGGAATGGTGGTTAAGGGTCTGGGAGCCCAGGTCGTTTTCTCCTCAATCTTGCCTGTGAGGGGAAAGGATGGGAGGAGGAGTAGACGAGTTTTCCAAGTTAACAGCTGGCTGCGCCGCAGGTGTTGGCAGTAGATCAACAGCTGATGGGGAGAGATGGGATCTACCTTACCAAGTGGGGCACGCGTGTCTTTGCCAACAGATTGGCCAGCCTGGTACGGAGGGCTTTAAA